GTTCCATGTCCTTCTTGTGCTGAGGGCTCCAGAGCTGAACACACTACTCCAGGTGAGGTCTCACCAGAGCAGAGTAGAGGGGCAGAACCACCTCTCTCGACCTGCTGGCCACGCTTCTCCTGATGCAGCCCAGGACACAGTTGGCCCTCTGGGCTGCCAGCGCACATTGCCGGCTCATGTCCAGCCTTTCGTCTATCAGTACCCCCAAGTCCCTCTCAGCCGGGCTGAACGGCTCCTCAGCTCCACGTTAACATCAGCCGAGGGAAGGTTTCACGTGTGAATGGGTATTCGGAGCGCTTGTGTGAGTAACAGATCAACTCCCTTTCTCTGGTTTCTCAATTTATATTGCACGTGTAACTAAGGCTACCAAGCAGTGATACTCCCTGGCCTGTCACTCTATTCTCTGAGGGAAATCGCCACGAAGGCCTTCTGAGAGAGGTCTCCCAGACACCCCGTGCAGTGAGGGCATAGACATGTAGGGCTGGTAGGGACCCACTGGGTTGCTAAATAACATCCCCCTGAAATCAGAGGCAACCAAGCTCTGTAGTCCCACAGGAAAAAAGAAACAACTCCCCCTCCTACAGCTTCTTCCCACCTTACTAGGTATAAATTGCTTCCTTTCTAGGCAGAAGTTGAGTTGATGATAAAGACGTACCAACCACTCTTTAGTCCTGCTAGGAGTGTCTAATGTAAGGTTGAATAGCCTGCTTTACCATGGGAAGAAACTCTTCTGAGGCAGTGGGGACTCTTCAGCAGCTGGGTTCATATCAGTAAATGTTACAACTGTAGAATGGGCTGCTTAGCTCGACACCCTTGCATAGAAAAACGTTAGCCATTTTGTCATTTATATCATTGTAACTAGGTTTAGGGGTTAGTAGTGCTGGGTGAGTATTTGTCGTACTTCAGAGAATCACCGAATAAGTTAGTTTGGATGGGACTTCTGGACCTTGCCTGGTTCAAACCCTTTTTTGAGAAGGGCCAGCTTCGAAACTAGAATGGGTTGCTCATGGCCTTACCAAGTTGAGTTTGGAATATCTTCAAGGAGAAGACTGTTCTATGGCATACTCTGAAGAGGAATTCTTTTACAGGCTTGGACTTAGACACAACTGTTAATTTACTTTACGGACATAGATTTTTTCAGAAACAGGCTGTAAAATTACATTTCTAGAGTCACATCTGCATGCTAGAATAAATGGACTAGTTCTCAGGAATGCTAGATGTGCTGTAGCATTCTCAGATGGTCTGGGTTTGCTTGCAATAGAGAGGGAAGATTTTACATCTTGAATGCTTGTTGATGCTGTCCTCAAGAGCAGAACTGCCTGCTGTGCAGATCAGAAGCTGTGGGAGCATGCAGGACTCTGCATGCCTGAGAACACTCACAGAAATAACAATCTTCCCATCACAATCACAAATGCTGTTTGCAGGCAACTGCTTTATCAGAATGTCTGTGAGTTGGTGTCCACTGGGATAGACAAAGTGATGAAAATAATTTTTATGTATGGAAGATCTGCAGCGGAGATGCAAGTGCGGAAAGAACACACTGCCAAGTGTGTCACGATGACGGATGCTAATAGGGAAAGGGGTACTCCTCTCATCTCCCAGGGAACTCAGTACATGCTGCTCGTGTTTTCTAGCTCACTTCCCTGCTTCACCAACCAATTTTTATGAAATCTGTTACACACTTTTTGTTGTCCTTGTAAACTGCAGGACCCCCAAAAACCTGTTCAAAAGGTTGGGTACTTAAAGAAAAATATTCCAAGTTTAATGAAGTTATTTGTGAGAGAAGACTAGATCAATTTTTTAGTCAAAATGAAATGTCACAGCAATAAATGCTCATCTTAGACCCAGAAAAAGGTACACAATCACTGCTGGTTGCTATGAAATTAAAAAGAAACCCCAACAAACTCTGAGTGGTGAGGATTTTAATGCACGGTACTCCACAATGTATTGCAGACTGTTTTTTTGTGTTAATTAGTTAGTGGTGTTTTTATTTTATAGATTACATTCACAGGAAGACAGGGAATGAAGACTGAAATCCAGTTCTGATGATTAGGCAAAAATGTTAGCATGTGGCCATATGTGATTATTTGCAATAATGCTATGCTAAATGACCCGTATGTAAATATGTCGTTTAACCACTAGGAAGGTGATTACTATGAGCAGACTGGGAAAAAATGCAGGAAAAAACTTTGAGGGAAAAAAGTAGGACAGATTTTGACACAGAAATACATGGAACAAAAAACTAAGACAGGGATAGAAAATTTAACTTATAATAGGTTTAGCAGTCAACAGATACTCTTTTGTTTTAACTTTTA